AATGGCTGGGGCAGGGGTGTGGGAGCAGGGAGGTGAATGGCTGGGGGCAGGGGTGTGGGAGCAGTGAGGCAGTCAGCTGCTGCACTAGCAGAACCTGTTTGCCATCTCATTTTCTTTTGGATTTTTCCCAGTTACCTTGCTTTTACACAGTGAGTTTTCATTTATTTGGCCTATAAAACATCTTTGCTTTTAAGTTGAACAGAAAGGATAAAATCTATCTGAGAAGCTATAAGCCACTGAGGATATGGTTGAAAAAAGTATAGGGTAAGTAGAGTCTTTTAAGGGGTAGAAAAGAATGCTCACTGGAGCTCTGTGCCTGCTGCATTTAAAAACATTCTGGGGGTCCTTCCCTGGTGGCACAACGAGTTAAAGCACAGCACTATGAAGCTGTCCACAGCCACAGCAGGATGAGTTCAATCCCCAGCCAGGGAGGTGACCCACCTGGTGCTGCAGACCTCTCCTGACCCACCCGCTGCTCCCCTCTGCAGTGTACTTCGTCGATCTGTCTGTTCTGCTCCCCACTCTGTCCTCTGGTGAATCGTCTCACCCCCCCCCCCCGTACCCCAGCTCTGTACACATAAACAAATCCTTAAAAAAAAACAAAGTCTGGTAACAAATATGGCAGTCTGGGTAGGAGGCTTATGGCTGTTTCATAGTTTTCAATTAAAAATCTTGAAAGATTTGTCACCACCTCCTACCAACCAGATTCTCAGAATACATCAGTAAGTTTTAATAACTGGAGTCTCCTGACGGGGGCATCAGCCTGAACATCACTGAGAATCTCCCTTCTGGGCTCGGAGACTCAGCACACCACTCCCCGTGCCATAGCCCCTCCCCTTTCTCCTCTTCCACCAGCTCCAGGGAAACGTGCCATTAGTGATTCACTGCAGTAAAGAGGAAGTTACTTCCTTCGACTTGTGCCTGTTGGCAGGATGCTGGGTGGGGAGCTTGAGCCCACAGGGCAAGGAGCCCGTACCCCCGGGGCGCGGCCCCGCTGAGGCTTCTTTCCGAAGGTGCAGGGGTAGAGTATATCTTCGGCTGGTCGCTCAGCCGGTGCCAGGCAGGGAGCGCGCACACGGCATGCCTTTCTCACCCGCAAATGGCCAGGCCCAGGGGACCGCGTACACACCGCAGCCTCCCCGACTGGCAGGCAGGGCGAGCACGGTGAGCTGCAGCCCTCTGTACTCCAGAACACCCTTGTCTTCTCTTGTGCCCCATCAGGGCTCAGTGAAACCTAGCCAGCAGGCATTTATTTAAAGGCATGGTCTGTTTTCTCTGTGTAACTTGCGAATGAAGCTATGACTGATGTTCAGAAATCTTGAGTCTGGCAGCACTTAGAAAACGCAAGTCATGAGAATCCCATCACGCCAGCAGTGAGGGCCAAGTGAGTCTTCTGTCACTAGGTCCAAGTCCGCAGCCTGACGTACGGGAGGGTCTCCCCACACATTCCACACACCCCTACACACGTGGCCTGGGCTCCCTTTTTGATCCACCTTCATTTCTACAAGTGCTGCTTTGCATGTCATCCACTTTCCTGTGTGGCAAATTCTCCTGTGCTGTCACTTAAAGGACAGCTGTGAGTTGGGGGTGGTTTCATGCGCAAGGACAAAGCACACAGAGCACACACAGATTTCTGAACACCTTGGCCCAACCCACCACCTCAAAGTGACCACTTACAGTGCACTGCGCCCCATGAGAACCCCTGAAATGCCAGCAGGCACACTTCTTTCACATCTCCAGACCTAACAAGGAGAAGGGAGATGACAAGACAGCTCAACCGAAGAAGAGGGAAGGAGAAACGAGAAGCCTTTAGATCGCACTGCAGCTACTGAGACTCAAACTTACCTGGACATCCTTCCTGAACAAGGCCAGGAGCAGAAAGAGAAATACCGCTGGAGTGCGGGAAGCAACTCAGAGACTCCGCATGACACGGGGCCACCACAAAACATGCTGGCAGCGACACTGGCAAGAACTGGCTGCAAACCACCCCTGGCCTCCCGAGCCAGAACCGAGTTACCAAGGCAGGCCTGTGGCACACCAGCAACCCTCAAGAATGCGCTCTACCTATACAAAGCGCTCTCCAAAGATTTGTTTTTTAAAAACCGAAGAATATTTAAGATGTCCTTAGTGGATATTTTTGACTATCAATATTAACGGCAGGGCCCCAATGACCTCCTGTGGGGAAGCCGGTCCGCAGGGCTTCCTAGAAGTCAGCTGAGGCTGCTGAAAGGGCGTTTTTCATTCAGAACTTGTTCATTGATCCATTTCAGATGCCGGGGATAAAAACGAACAGGAAAACTTAGGGGAAAAAGACAAGGAGAGAAAGATGAGACCCTGCTCTCCGCCTGCTTGTCGTTTCCAGGCAACATCAAGAGCTTGTTCCCAGCACAAGCACAGCCCCACCGGCCAGGATGGGTCAGCAGCATCTCAGCATGTCCTGCGGACACAGTGGACAGGGACACCAGCCTGACGCTCTGGGAAATGCACACGTGCCTGGTGCTTGCTTCTCGTGTGCTGCGTGCTTAGTGCCGGCTGCCTGGTTCACTTTTGTGGCACCTCAGTCTTCTGCCAAATCCAGAATGGGCTGTGGGCCTTGTATGAAAGATATATAGCTATGTAAGGGACAAACTTCAGAAAAGATGGAACTGGTGGGCTTCCCTGGTGGCACAGGGGTGCAAGTCTCAGCACTATGAAGCTATCGCCAGCCACCGCAGGAGTACGAGTTTGATACCCCGCCAGGGAGCTGACCCATGTGGCACAGCAGACCTCTCTTGTCTCACCCGCTGCTCCCCTCAGCAATGCATTTCGATACATCTGCCTGTTCTGCTCCCACGCTGGGAAATCCTCTCACCCCCCAACTCTGGCTTACACCTCAGTTCTTGCATGCATAAATAAATGAATAAAAAAAAAAAAGACAGAACTGGTAAAAGGAAAATTATCTCATTCATTTATTGGTTTTCATTCACTCTCTAGCAGGATAAATGCAGTAGCCATAAAAAAGCAGAATCTTTTTCTGGCTTTCTATCACTGTATCCCAGGCCCTTGGAAGAAAAGTAGGTACAAAGTAGGAGTTAAACGTTTGATGAATGAATAAATGACAAGAATTCAGTAGTGCTAGCACCATACATGCCAGGCGCCGTGGCGCTTTAACAGAGCTTACTTAGCCCTAGCACACCCCTACGAGGTATGTACTACTCTCATCTCCACTCAAGGGGATCTTTTATCATCCACATTTTACATTGCAGCTACTGAGGCACAGAGGGGATTAAATATCACGTCCCAGATCACACAGGGGGTGAAGAGTATAACATGAATCCTACCCTGGATGGAACTTTTCCTGTAACTTAAGCTGAGCTCAGGTACTCAGGCTATCTGAGGCTTCGAGATGAGAAGCACCAGAGTGGACTCTGCACCATGCCCTCATCCCATGCTGTGCAGAAAGGGCTCTGCGTAGACACGGAACATCACCGAAGCAGGACTGCACACGACTGTGATGGGGAATGGAACCAGCACAGGTGCGGTGTAGACACGAGGGCCACGTGGAGGTGGTGTGACCGCCCAGGGCACGACGAATTCAGCATGTGAGGAGGGAGCCGGCGCCTGGGGAAGTCCAGGAGTGCCATGGGGAAGGCCAGCTGGTGTAGGAGACACGGAGTTCTGGCGATTGGGGAGGCCAGGGAGAGGAGGTTGGAAAGGCACCCCAGGGCGAGACTGACTGTGAGGCAGACTTGACTGCTGTGTGTATTGGGGGCAAGGAAGGCGGCGGCAAGGAGTCAGCCGCCACGGAGTGCAGGGGAGGAGGGAGGACACAGGTCTCCTCAGAGAGGCCCCAGCTTCCTCCAGCCAGCACGCAGTGCAGGGGCACACACCCAGCCCCAACAGGTTCTGCCATAAGGAGACGCCAGCTTATCACATCCACTCCTTTATCAGACTGGGCTGGGGGGGGTGGGGGGAGCAATGGAAAGGCCATTCCCGATCTCCTCCACTGCTCCTGCAGCCACACAGACAGCTTCCTGGACTGCTGACTGGACTACTGTCTGCGTTCCCAGTGCCCCAGCTCTCCATCCGCCCGTCTCCTGGCCTACGGCTCCTTGAACCCACCTTTATATCTGGCTCCTTCACAGGCAATACTATCCCAATTAAATTCTGGGTCCCTGGACTCTCATTTCTCTCTCTCTTTATATTCCCTGACTTAAATCAGCCACCCAGTCTTTGTGTCCAACCTCAAGCTAAACTCAGTCGTTACAGTGCTGGTGTCCACACGTCCCCATGGTCCCCACTGGATCAGAAATGCGCTGCATCTCAAGTATAAACATGCACACAAGTTGCTTACTAACTTCATATTGATTGTGATAGTACCAAGCTTACACTGATACTGAAATCGGACAATTACAGCTTGGTGCGGAGTCACATAAATCACACAAATTTACTTTAACCTGCTGCTCTGGAGTCTTTGTAGTGTAACCCCTAGAAGGCCGTGAGTGACACACACGGCTCATCCTAGTGGATGGCTGGCCCTACTCTAGTCTGTCTTCAAGGAGCTGCCCCTCAGCGAGCAGCATGTGTGAAACTGGACCCACCATGAGCACGCTATGATGTCTCCACGCCTGCTTCCTCACCCTAACTTGGATACCATAATTGTAAGAAAGAGGATAACTTTAATAGAGAGAACACACCGCTGACTCTGACAGACTTTTTAACTCCTGCGAGGCTATCACCTCCATTTGACAGACAGCCAACCGAGGGACTCAAAGATAAAGGTTACACGCTGAACCCTGGCAGTCAGCTCCGGGGTGCCAGCGTCCCCCGGAATGGTCACTCAGAGGTGCTACAAACATCCCAAGTCATTTACGAAAAACAATGTGAACTGTCCCTGGCCCAGAGTAAGCTGCCCTTTGATGATGAGGATAGAGGCATCCCCCCCGGCCGTGCCTACCTCTGCAATGCCCTCCGTGGCAGAAGCCTCCGCACTGTTTCCCAGTAGACCCTCGGGATCAGCTCTTAACTTGCCTCCCACTTTGGTCCAAGGCCAGCCAGGTCCCTCTTACTCTTCCTGCAGTGTTTCTGCCATGTCCGCTCTGGACTCCCACTCCCACTTTAACCTGGCCCGTCACACCTTCACACTGGATTAATAGCCAGGAGCCCACTGGACAGAGTCCTATCAGTAACAAGACCCACTCAGGCAGCGCTCATGGCTTAAACCTCCTGGCTCCCTTCAAGGCTACCACCGCCCTGTCTGTCCTCCAGCGCTTCCTCACTGGACTCCGTCACTGTCCAGCTCCTCCAGCAGACCCAGCTCCCGAGAACACCAGATTCATTCCTGATGGAACCTGACAGTGCCCATCAGCTGATTTAAGTCTGAGAAGAAAAGAAGGGTCTCTGTCCCTACTGGGGAAAGTAAGATTGAAAAGGCAGAGAAAGTAAAAATTCTAGCCTTTTCCAAAATCTCCCACAGAATCAAGATTGACGTGAGCAGTCAAACTTTGACAAAAGCATAACCCAGTCCCTCTTACTGAATTCAAGCTTATCCGCACTTCTCAACAAAAACTCCCCAGAGTAGCAAACAGTGTCTTCATTGTTCCTGGAGTGAAAAATCATGACATTCTTACCCCCAGCCCTTTTCCTACAGCTCCCCTGTTTCAGAAATCTGAGCACAATTCTCCATACATCTTCCTCCAAACACCCTGGCTACAGTGACCCCGCTAGAACCACGATGAAACTTGTGTCTTACACCATGCTCAGTGCTCAGTGCTGATATAGTCCATTCCCTGGGCAGGTGCCACTTACAGCCCCAACCAGGCCATGAGCAAGGAAGGCACAGGCATTTTGCAGCTATTCCATTCCTGCTTTCTGCAAAAAAAAAGTGCTCTTCGTGGGTACAGAGAATACTGAGTGAGTTGCTGGTGGTGCAACAAATCATCTGCAACTACCCTGTTTTAGCCAGCTGTGTTTCCCTAACCAAAAACTTCCTCAAGGTGACAGGCTTAAAGTGGGGACACATGGTCTCTGCAAATTCATTCAAGTCAGCTGAGGTTCAGACTAGAGTGTGTGTCCTCAAGATCAAAGTGCCAGAAATGACCACCCGGACCCAATCACTAGCCCTCTGCCAACCAGCCCAGTGCTCTTCTCCCACTTCTAAGTCCCCATTCTGTTCCTGCCCCTCCTTAGCACCCAAGGAAGCAGTAAGCAACTAAAAGGAAAAAGGAATCAGGTGAGAATTCTTGGTAACAGCAGATCTGGTAAATGAATCACTTCAGATGAACATTTGCCTAAAATAGCTTTTCTTTCTTTCTTTTTTTTTTTTTTTTTTGGTGACTCACTCAGGGTAATGATTTGCCAGGCTGCAGTTGCGCCTCCTGATCTTGGTCTGTGAAAGAAAAATTTTCATCTAACCCTAAAACCAGTTTCTTTCCTGACTCCAAAGTGGGACACCACCTCCCCCAAATCAACACTGCAATTACAAAATCTTCGCTGCAGGCTGCTTCTGATTAAAAAAAGAAAGAAATTAAGGAAGGAAGCCGTGAGGGCAGAGCCGCTGACCATCAACGCCAACTGACAGTGGCCGCTACACTTACCAGCCTCCAGTCTCCCCACACCTGACGGCTCGGGGCGCCCAGTGTCTAAGACCCCGCGTGACAGACATTCCAGTTTCACACCGAGTCACAAAGAACCTCAGTCAGGGCAGTCTCCCCTCATGAATGGCCACATTGTTGGGGCCTTTCCCTCCAACACTGAAACTCAGAGATGGAAAGAAATAAATGGACACGGACCCGAACCTGGGCGCGCGCACAGGCACAGCCAAGCTCAGCCAGAGAGGCCCGCGCCGCGCCCTCAGACCTCAGGGCCACTCCGGAGGCTTCGGGCCGCTCCAGGCGCGCACGC